GCTAGTGTTTCTGCTTGGACATCTGTCCACGGTTGGCAGTTGCAGATGTTGTTGACGGCTGTGAAGCTGAGAGGAAGTTCCAGCCACTGCAAAGCCCAAATGTTTCTTTTTTCATTTCCCTGTTTTGGTTTGGGCTTTTTTTTTTTTTTTTAACAGATCTGAAAGAAGAGGCGGTATTCCTTTGGGAGTGATAGGAACCAGATATGTGTGGCTCTCTTTTCATAGCGCCCAGAAAAACCTGCCTTATGTGCATGAATTTTTGCTTCCTCTAAAAGGAGGATCTTGTGTTATGGGGGATTCCGGTGTACTTTGATTACAGCGAGAGTGAAGCAAAATCTTTAAAAACATACTCAGACACAAACACTCACATGCACACTAAGCGGGTGACTCATCGCATCGTCCGATTCACAGCTGAGTTTAACTGAGACCTCCTGTGAGCCTGGGAATTGATGCCAGCCTGCGCAAAGTATGTGCAATGTGGAAGCGGATTTTCTGGTTGATGCAGTATTCAGAGACTGTTACCAAGCATAGAGATGGAAATTCAGAGGCATTGTTGTATTTCTGAACAGCCCATATTCTCTTAAAGCCCTCTTTACTCAAGTTGAACTAGTTTCATACGAGGAGAAAAAAACATTTTGGAATCCTCAGACAAGCAAATATGAGGGCTGGGTAACAAAGCCTTGTTTATCCAGTTGGTTATTGTCTTTAAGTGTTGGAATCATGAATGTTTTTTGCATTAAGCTGCTGTTGTTGTTCATTTTTGAGTCTTTGCTCTCTCTCATTGCTGTTTCCTTAGTGTCCTGGATCCATTACTGAAAGCATTACAGCATCAGCAAAAGATTTATTTTTCTCTTTCCTCTTTTTTCTCAAGGCCATGGCAGCTAGCAAAGCCTGAGGAGAATTTAAGATGTTCGTGATTGTTCATCGCTCGTCTCTCCAGTATTGTGCTTCAGTATCTTAGTCTTTTAATCCCGCTTGTCTGTTCTGCTCTTCGGACTTTCGGCACAGGGGTGGCCAGCCAGCCGGTGCTGATTATTTAAGGGTCCCAGTCCTTAAAACTTTGAGGTCAACAGTAACTAATACACTTAAGATCTGCTGATGGCCCCTGTTCCTGACAAATTGAGCCCACTACGTCAAATCTAATGTATTGGACTGCATTTTAAGTGAGTCATCCCAGCTTTTAGTTGAAAACTGAGGTAGTTAGGCAATCAATCAAGACTGTAAAGTTTTCTCAGCATCGGGGGACTCGTCTGCTCCAAGAAAGCCCCCTCAAACATTTCTCACCTTGTTGTGTAATGCATTAGTTTATGCTAACAATCTTGATTTGTTGTGAAAGCAGAATAACTTTCTACCTCATAAAACCTTTCCTTGATATAAATTTGTGATTATTTTTGGGTTTTTTTGCATCATTGCCAAACAGCTTAATGATGATTATGTCTTATTAGCTGAACGAGGAGTAATTATCATCAGCGCTCACAGGACCATGTAATGGTGCTCGGTACTGTTTTATATGAACTTCCAACCTTGTGCTAATTAGCGTCAACAAATCAATTATTTATGCCTATAGGGGAAAAATATTACGAGACTGAAACTCGCCTTCTAAATACACTTTCCTGGCATCTTCCATGAAGTGGATGTACATCGCCTGAGCGTAGATTTAGCTTGATTGTTTTCGACTGAGTCATACTTTAAAGCCAAGCGTGACAGGATTACACCCAAACAGTGGAGAGGAGTTGCACTGACAAGGCGAGTCGTGGGACAGGATGTGGACCCGAGAAGTTCCTGTGTAATCGCTGCAGAGATCTCACACACCGTTCCAACTCTGTAAATGCTTTTGTGAGCCTCTGTGTGCTGCTCCTCACAGCTGAGAATGCAAACTGCTCTCAAATGGAGGTTGAGAATCTAATTGAATGAGACAAGCGTTTACCATCTCAAGTATCAAACACAAAATCTCTTGAACTCTGGTAATTATACACTTAGAGTACAGGACACATGATCACACATGCACGTACACACAAGCACACATGTACGCTCACATACATAAAACTGCAGGCAGATGAGCACTTGGCGGGAGCTGCATTTGATTCTCAATAAGAGAACAGATTGATGAAGTGTGGGGATAAGGATGGATATCTATACATATCTGCCATAAAGAAACAGTTGAACAGCTGGCTGTACATTCGGGTTCCCACTGTTCTCAGTGAGATGACTGATTGAGCATTATTTTTCATGGATTTAGTCTCAATGGGACCTATAGTGTGTATATACAACTTACGGGAATAGTTTGACATTTTTGGAAATGCGCTCATTCACTGGTGCCAACAGACAGACAGCTCATACAGAGCCAAGAAAGCTGTTTCAGCCTGCTCCCAGTCTTTATGCGAAGCTAAGCTAAAGCTGGACATACATTGAACAATTTGAGCATGTTTTAGAAATGTTGCTGTTTAATTCTCCCTCCAGCTGTGAGAGTAAATTGTCCACGATTTAAAGCTAAATATGATGATTTATATACTCACGCTGTGTGGTCCGATCATCAAGCTGTGACCTGAGTGCTTATACTGTGCATGTAAAATAGACAATATAATGGTCTGTCGGCCCCTGTGGACTGTTCTTCTATTGACAGTTGTCAGTAAAGATTCATCTGAAAGCTGCAGGCAGGTCGAAGTTAGTCTGCTAGTGGAGGTACAGTTTGCAATAATGTAGAGACAGAAGTCCCAAAAACAGCTAAAAGTCAATTTCTTCAAAATCTGGTCAGTCTTAGTTTTGGTTCCAACTCTTTCTTGGAGGCACCAGCAGACTAGCTGGGTATACACTGCACAGTTTATGGAGTAAGGGGGAAAAAGCACTGACCTTGGGGAACTGACTTGTGGCTCTGCTTCAGACCAAAAGTTCTGACATCATAAATTCATCCGAACATCCGACTGCCCGTTGGGAGCAGTTTATCAGGTTGTGATCGGTCCTCGCTGCCCCCAGTGCTCGACATGGCAAGTGACACCCGATGAAGCTGAAATTCTGTTGGACTCCAAATTTAGTCCAACGGCTCAAAAATCGTGTCAGAAACCGGCTCAAACTGCCGCTGGTTCCAGCTTGGTATTTAATGCACAGACAGAAGACTGGTATCAATCTTCTCTAATTCTCTGCAAGAAAGCGGATAAGCCCATTTCCCAACATATTGAACTATTTCTTTAACTGTCTGATTACTGTTTACACCAAACCTCCAGGCTAATGCTCTAATTGATCAGGAATGTTTTATGGGTCCTCACATACAGTGATTCATTTGACCCAGTTCTAACAGTCTTTTGCTATATTAAGAGTCTTGCTCACCCAGCCTCAGTCCGTGTCTGTACTTGAAGTGCCCTGGTTGTCTGATCGGGTGAGTCAGGCAGACTTCTTACACTAATAGCTTCCATCGGGCTGGCCGGGCCTGGCGCATTATGGTGATGAGGCGGCAGATTTTGTGGTGAAACTGGCAAAGTCGCTTAGATGACAAGGCAAGTCGGCGGGTTGAGGGGGGGGTTTAACTGAACCTTTGGGGCCCGTCACTACTTCAAACTTCAAAGCAAAGGTTGGACCCGGGGGTTGGGATGCAGTGTGGGACTCTTGGATTGGAAGGGTTGGGGGGCAACAAACATCATCTGTAATTGAGGTTTGTGAGGTTTTGGTTTTTCTGCAGGCTTGCATATTCTTCCTTAAATTTTTAATGTCTGTTAAGCATGTCCCAGTACCAAGTGCAGCTGGGAGAGGACTGAACTGGAGACAGAGACCTCACATAACATCGCAGAGAAAGCACACAAGGACAACATACATATGAAACCTGCCAGACAGGAGACACTGAAAGAGGCCTGTGTTCAGTCCGAGGCCACGAAACTGGGAAAATTATAAATGAGACCATGCTGTTAGTTCATGTAGGAATGCCTTTTATTTCTGAGAAACTTCTTTATGGAAAGCTGTGGGCCACACTGGAGGGTAGTAATGTGGTCTCTGACCTCTGTTTGATTAAAATGAACAAGCACAAAGCTGAGTGAACGTTTCCCTCCATTCGTCTTTTTCTGCATCTGTGTTGACAGAATGATTGTATGTTAATTTGTACGTCTGTTGTCACATGGGAGTTATGCTATCCAAATTAACAGCAGTGCTCTGCTAATCCCAAAGCATGTGTGTGTGTGTACACTTGTACGAGGTCACACACACATATGCTTTCCTCTGTGTTTGTGGTAACAGTCTATCTATAGGAATAGCCTCAACAAACTATAGGAATACCCAACAACTCTCCAGCTGCACGGTGCTGCTCTGTAATTAGTGCGTCAAAGCCACAGAGCTCTAATGTCGCCTGGCTGACTTTCAACGCTGTGGGAGATTAGGATCCCCCTGCGACGTCTAACTCTCCATTCTCTGCCAATATCTTTTATTTCTTTGTCTAAATATGACTTAAATTAAATGAAGCCAAATAAAAATGAATCCTAACTAGCATATCATGTTATGGAGCCTAGGAAAGCACAACTTGTAAAAATATAATTGAATTGAATGGACCATAAAGTTCCTCTCCAACTCAATGTATAAACAGAGGACGGGATGAGAAGCAGTGAGAACAGCAGGACTGAAATGTTTATTTACGTCACTCAGATACCACCACATGACTCTTTCCTTGCTGCAGAGTTACTTGGTGTGTTTGTGTGACACTGAGCTTGTACACACTGATGGCTGTAATCAATAAGAGAACATAAACACATCAGATAGGACATAAATGAGGCTCTCTGCTGTTTGTTTTTATTTGTTTCTTGTTTCCAGTGCTGCGCACTGTAGATCATTGCAGAGCCAGCTTGATTGTTACTTTGTAAACTCAGCTGGATGACGCTGACGAGGGAGTTTCATCAGGATCTGTTACACTTTTATGTGGAAATGAGAGCGGACTGATGGGGTGATGAAATTTTTGAGAATGGATTTAAAGTGTCAGGTGCGATTGAGTTTTCCTGTGTCCTCTCCAACCTTGTCTGTCCTAGGTGCTACGTGGGGCTCAGCTCATCGCGGTGGCATCAGCTGATGGCGGGGCCACAGCAGTAGAGGGCTCCCCCCTCCCCCCTGACATCCAAGTGCAGTACGTCCAACTAGCCCCTGTCGCAGATCACACAGCTGCCGTACAGGTAAAACAACACGCACACGCGCAAAAACACAAACTCTTCCAGGCTCAAGTACACGTGTACACAGACACAGATTGTTTGTAACTGGGGAGCATTCCAAGTGCTAAAGTATGCATTTATGGTCTGAGGTAAAACAGGCCCTGGTACTGATGTAAATCAGTCTCACTACACATGTGTTTGTTTTTTAAGCAATCCATAATAATAATAACTGCTCTCCACCTCTTTCCCTCAATCTGAAGTACATACTGTAGATCAGAAATCAGTCCTTCAGTGATGCCATTAATCTGTGCTGTGTACTCAGTGCTCTGCCAGGAGATCCAAGTCCCAGATAAAGAAATAAACTGAAATATACTGTCAGTTATTTTGATCCTAACCAGAACAGGTGCTAGGAAGTTGGAGGAGTGTCTTTTTGTGATGTAAATTTGGATCTAAAACTTTACTTGTAACAGTAAACTCATGAATAGGGTTATGTTATCACCCATCAGCTGTATCTTAGCTTCGTTCCTCACTAGTCACCTTTATGTTAGTTGGAATAAACATGGGAGGATATGAATATTTCATGTTATGATTATCCCGGCCAAAATAATTGCGATTTATGATATTACCCTGACACTATGATAAAAACTAATAAAATGGCACAAAAACATACTGGACATCACTATACCTCACATTATGTTAAGAAAAATATCTCTATGCATTATAGATAGGACACGTCTTTTTTGAGTGAACGTCCTTTTTAGTGAAAAATAATCTGAAAAAGCCAGACTTTTCAGCCGTATGAAATGGTGTCATATCTTTTGACATGAAAAATGCCAATGGTTAATTAACATCTTTTGCGATTTTTGAGGTTGGTGCATATGTTGCCTGTTTATGCAGAGTTTCTTATATTGTTTGTCTCTTTGGCTGCTGCTAGACACAATATTCATGATTCTTCCAATAATGGAAATTCACGTGTTTTTTTTATCGGGATCCACAATAAATTCCTATATCCTCCCCTACTCTGTAATGTTAAATACACAGTACATACGAGCTGTCTGTGGTGAAGATGCCAGGCAGACTCGCATAACTACATTTTGATCCTAATTTCAAGTTATAATACTGTTCTTTTCCTTAACCTTTAACAATAATAAATGTTTACTTGCTCATAGAGCTAAGTTGCAGTTTGAATACAAACTTGTACATCTAACAACCACCATGAGCACATTAGTTTTATCCCCAAACATGTAGGCTAAACACAGTATGCAAGATTAATAGACCTCTGTCCTTAGTTGCAGTTTTCCAAGTTGAACCACTTCTCACACCACTTAGAGGCTTTGGGAGAGCACTCCTGGTCTTGGCTTGAAAGTTGCACTTTCAACACAGTCTAGTCATTGTTGCCTTTAGTGTTGACGTGGACAATAAGTCATGGGCTTTGCTCATCTGATATGCTGGAACGTCCTCATGTCTGTACTCATGACACTCAGGGTTTTCAATCAAGCGGCGCACAACTCAGCTTGGCCACCTCAAATCATAAACCATTTACACAAATTCAAAATGGATTTGTCTAGGGTCGTTTTGGTGTCATTTAGGGGTGCACTGCTCTGCTGCTCCTGTGCTGTGCTGTGCTATCTCACACAAACACTACTGAATGGTGCCACAAAACTGATCATCTTTAGCGCTCCTAGTTTTTTGGCACTGTTAACCATCCGGGACATCAGCTGATTCAATGAACTATCTTTTGTCACCAGTCTGCTGCTAGCTAGCATTGTGCCCATACTTATGAAGGTATAAAAATGACACGGAGGTCCTGTAGTTCTTAACCAAGAGGGCAAACTCTTCATTGCCTCCTACAATGTCAATGGCAGTTGCTTCACTATTTGTGTTCTCACCTTTCACAATATAGACATAAACACTGCATCACTTACCAGAGGGAACTTGTTCACATGCTGAGGCTGTGATGATGACTTGTTCAAGACATAGATTTTGCTCAGGCCTCTTCTGAAAGTGTTTATTCAACATAATACCTTATTATCTCAATGACATGCACTGAAACAAATGTATTGTGACACAAAAAGGTAATTTATTATCTCTGCCAGTAAAAATATGGTTGGCCGGTGGATTCTTCCATCAACCGGTCCCCTTGGTCGGTGAGTCAAAGGTTAATTTCAGACACTGGATTTAATTCAGTTTACAAAAACTGTCCTGCAAAGTTCAGCTTTTAACATCAGCCTGCCAGCAGGGACACAGGAAACTGATTTCATACTTGGTAAATCTGTCTCACTGCCGTGTCCGCTGGAACTCATATTTTGCTCAAAGTCACTTGCACAGTCTTGTGTCTTATTTAAGTGAACCGTAAACTGTTCATCACAGTTACTAACTGTTTGTACTGATGACTCAACTAGGAGAATATCGTGCCCATCCCAGTGTTGGAAATGCTTCGATGGCCAGTCACCTCCCAGTGCCTGTCGCCCAGTTTTCAACACTACACAGCCCTCCAGTTGGAACAGTGGATCTTTGTGCTTGTGTAAAAGCCTTAAAAACACTTTTTTTGTGCTTAAGAAAAGTGCTGCAGAGTATTTTATGAAAATGTGTCAACAATTTAATCTAAAAAAAAAAAAAAAAAGTCAGAGTTCCATCAATCATGACGTAGAACTGGTGATAAAGAGAAGAATACTTTCTCTCCAAAGCTGAAAAATAGGCTCTTTTAAAGGAGTGGCCAATAGTTTTTACTGTCTTTGTACTGAATAATTTAGATCCATCAACCCTAAAATTAAAACAGCATCCTTTATGTCCTTCATTATATATTTGCCCATTTTTAGGAGTCCATACCTGTCTCCCTTTTTTCTTTTGAGAAATTAGGAGCTTAGTAGCAGCCAGAGTTTCTGGTTGTTCGGGTTGACACCTGCCGCCTTTTGTGCTATAATGGTTTGATCAGCTTCATAATGAGGCAAGATATATCCTGTAATATTTCTTTCATAATGACTGTAATGTCGAAATGGAAATATGAGTGCAATTTCTGCAATTTAGCTTAACTACTTGCAGGTACAATGGATCTGCTTTCCCCTTGTTGTCATAATTTTGCTCAGATAAAATGCACTCAGCTTTCAGTCATTATGACGGGTGTTTGGACAAACAGTAATTTAACACAATAAAGTGAAGTGGATGGAGTGCGACAAGGAGTAGAGTAGTAATTTGTAGATATGCTGAAAATCCCTTGATGATCGAGCGTTTTGAGCAACAGCCACATGTGGGATCAGGATGGTGCACAGGCACATGGCACAGTGGCCTTTGAAGTGGTCAGTTTAATTCTGCGAGGCATATAAAATAACCACACTTTTCCATTGTTCTCTCTGCTTTTTGTTTTCCCCAAATATGTTGAATATCACATTTTCTCCTCAGTGCTTCATTCCCTCAAGTCTCATATTAAAATGGGTACCCTCGAGTCCTGATGGGAGCCTTTGTTGTCTTGTTATAGTATAAACAGAGAGAACTTCAAATGATTTATGGCTGTCTAAAATACCAGTCCTATCCTAATGTGACTCTCCCTGCAGACAGTCACGCACCAGGTTTTGGGATTTCCTTGTTAAAAGTGAGATAAAATACCAAGGTGATAGCAGTATGACGAGGAAAAGTTTTAGTTTACGGCAAAAGCTACACACTTAAACATAACAGATCAGTTTAATTAAGTATGGAGGACGATATGGTGTACACAGATCACATGGCTCGGAGTGTAACTTGTGATGTATCATAAAAAGTCATAAATTCAGTACAAGTTGCATAAAGAGACGACATGGCTGTGACAGGTGAGACCTATGGCTGCTGATAGTATTCCAATATAAATGTTACTCTGGAGCTGCTGCAGTGTGTCACTAATGCTAATATTAACGCTAATGTATCTGTGAATCATAGCATTGGCTCGGGCGTAACTTTACACAGTCCAGCTAACATTAATCAAAGCTACGCAACATTGCCAAGTAAGTTAATCAAGTTTCTGAAATTCAGTACAGTTTGACCTTTTTTTTTGGTCATCTGCACCTTCATTGCAATATATCAAATAAATCTACTCACACACAATACAGCAGCTATACAAACACAGACTGGCGAGGCTCTCGCACAACAAGAGGCCTTCACTTAACAACGAAGTCTGCTGAGCTAACATGAAAGTCAGTTGAGCTCATGTTACAGTACAGTTTCACAAAAAGCAACATGACATCCACTCCAACTGACTACTGTCGTTATTTAACTGGCTTCAAATGAGGCTTAGCACTCACACAGTCTCTTTCTATGTACCTCAACATTTCTCCAGCCTGTGGGCCTACAGTCTGAGCTAGCCACATTAGCCACGCAACATGCTAACGTTAACTGCAATAGGCAAGCCTGCAAAATAAACAGTTAAACAACGTAAAATGGCAAAAATTACAGCTGTTTAGTTTGAAGTCTGATCACAGACAGCCAGTAACAAATCACCCTGAGCTTTAGGTTTGAATTGAATCCTGCTGTATACTAAAAAAAGAGTTTTCTAGTTGTTGTGGGGATATTTTAGTCAAGAATCCTAAAAAACCTTAAGATGTTAATCATTGGGAGCACTTGAAAGCTTTTCTGTTGGTCCTTGCAGCCAGCAACACAACAAGTAGTGTGCTTTGCTCCAGCTGTGTTACTAGATTTGCGAAAGTATGATAAAAAAATAGGACACGCACATCCCCGAAGCCCACTGGGTTGGGTGCTGGATCACAAAGTATCAAAAGCATGAAAAAAAGAAAAAAGCGATCCGCACACCAAAAGAGCTCCCGTATGCAATTTTTTATTTTGCGTGACGTTTCGAGCGTGATGCTCTTCCTCAGACTGCTAATCATTTACAATGAAGTCGCCATCTTAAATACCCATAATGCAAGGATTACACCACGTGGTACATCTCCTAGATCGACTAGATTTGCGAAATCAAGGAATTCACAATCACGGACAGCAAGGTAGATCAGCAGGTCACCTAGCTGGAGAAGGTGGAAGTAGGTCTGTGCAAGATTATGACGTCATATCAGCCATCTGATCTCATTCTTACACTTTTTCTGATAGATGGACTAGGACAAAAATGAGAGAGGATGGTCTTTCCTCACACCTTGACACACTTGGCACACATTATTATGTTCAAAAGCCAACAAGAAGTGCATTTTGCATGGCATGTCATCTTTTAAACTTTGCCCTCAGATGACCCCGTCTTGTTGTCCTTTCGTTGTCTGCTGTCGTCTAGGTAATTGGTTCCTTGCCCCTGTAAGCATAGAGGTGATTAAAGCATTGTATACTGATTAATTGTTTTGGGTGTGTATCATACACAAACTGATGGACTCCAGTGAGCATACAAAATGATTGTTACCCCGTACACTGTATTCCAAGGTCTGTGCTCCATGTCTCTTGGCGCAGCGAGCAATCAAACTGTTTGTTTACTCAACTGATTCGTTTGAATGGGTTTTTTTAGGTCTAAAACAGGCTCATTTTTTCCTAATGTTTGATTGTACACAGATCTTGACAGAAATCAACAAAGTAGGCAGAGGTCTGATCAGTCATCAGCGTTCTGTTCGGTGGGGTTTGGGTTCAGTCGGGGCACGGGGACATGCTCAAGGACAGAGTGAAACCACTTGTTAGCAATGTGGTGTTTATTGATCAAACAATATTTAAACTTGTCAAAAGCAGATTTTCATTAGACGTCAGTCCCAAAGTAATGTCAGTGCCAAGAAAATAAATTGGTGCTAGGAAACACCCAGTATCTTCAAGTAGACTTATCTTTTAATTTTCCATTTTTTAAACATGCCAACTTAACTTAAACTAAAACTGGATCTATCCAAGCCATAGTCGATCACAGGACAAAATATGTAACACATACAATTAAAAGACAAGATGATGAACACGTGGAATGGCACCGACCAATTACAAATAAAAACTGAAATTGTAAACACATTGCAAACGAACCACTGAGTGAAGCAGCTGACGTGTGAGTACAGACACTTGGCTTGGCCTGTCCGGTACAAGGTGGGTTATTATCACAGTTGGGTTTTTGATGTCCCAGAGTGTAAACATTGCTGGCTTTCAGTTCAAAGTTCAGAGGAAGGTTAGCTCTGTTCTTTTTCTCCTTTTCTGCAAAGTGTTGAATCAAGAGGATTGCTCTCATCTGTTTCCAGACATATGGGAGCATTTAAACAAGTTCTTGAAAAATTACTTAGGCTTTTGTATTTATTTATCTCTGCATTTTTCCTCTCTCTTTATTTAATAGTTTCCATTACCTAAACTAGATGAAGTAGGGGGCAACGTACAGTGGTATTTTGCATTCCAATGGGCATAAACTGTGGCTGAATTTTGATGCAACAGCTTGGGTATAAAGTTGGGACTACAGAGCACCAACAGCCTGGTTGCAAAAAATGCCAGAACAGTTTCTGATGCACAAAATTCAAAAAGCAATGGATCCATAATCCATGAGTACTTCCAAATGGAGAACAAGGCCCATACTGTGACAGTTCAACATGTCCAACATTTCAAAAGCTGAGTAAAAAACATGGATCCATATGAGTTTTGCTTGGCCTCTTTACTGCCAGTGGTTACAGCGTGTTGGCCTCATGTGTTGTCGTATTGTGTGTGCTGCTGTGGTGCAGCTGTGCTCCATTCAATACTGTTGTCTAGTGACAGCATGCTGGGCTGGAGAGAGGATTAAATGCTGCAGGTGTGTTTGAGGGAACCTTTGGCGTGCATTTGAGGAAGGAGTGAGTCACTCTTCATGGTCATCATCCAGGACTGAGTCATGAACCTCTCATCTTTTTGAGGGGTTTTTACCCGCACAATACCTCGCTCTGTTTGACACCGAGCACAGAGACAGAGAGCATAAAAATACAAATAGCTCATCACTTGTCAAGTCTCTCTCCACCTGTCACTCTGCCTCTTTTCTCGGTCCCTCCACCAACTGTCTTCTTCTTTCTTCTCCCTGATATATCTCGTCTCTAATCTCTCCTGTCATTCCTCTGCTCCTTCTATTGTCGATCCAGTGTAGTTGTCTCCCACAATGACACAGGGGCAAAGGCTACGGTATGGTTTGGTCTCCATCTGTTGGTTCACAGGAAACACGCTTGTGTTAAAGCCTTTTCATAATTACACTGATTAGCTCAACAGGATGCTTCATCAGATCACACAGTCTTCCCAATTATCACCTCTTCGCTGTCCTTTCTTTCATGTGTTCCAGGCTGCTGAGCTGGCCCCGGCCTTGCAGGCGGACATAGAGGTGAAAGAGGCCATCCAGGGCGCCATCCAGGGAGAGAACGGCGAGGTGGTCCAGATTGTCACCTCTGTGGCCACCTGAGAGCCCCGTCCTGTTCGACACAGCCCTGAACTCTGCTCCGCAGCATGGCCTGACGAGTCTCAACGGAACATCAGAAGTCGACAAATGCACACATTCTGACGAGCACTTAAGTCAGAGAGCGTTTTTTTAACAAGTACTAAAGGTCACTGTCGAAACACAGGGAAGAAGCATTTTTCAGTTTTTTGTTTTCCCTTGCAAACTCCTCACTCCGTTGCCAACCGTATGTCGCAATATGGAAATGTTCACAGAGAACTTGAAAAGACCATGATACTCTAAAAAATCAACTGTGGTCTTTCTGGTGTTTTCATCACCAGAAGGACCTGGCCCACCGCAGAATACACAGTGGGATTATTGACTATCCAGGGAGGACGCTGCTTATGCAGACCATCACCCTGCCACTTCATCAGCACACACGCTTGTTTACATCAACTTTGGAAAATAGTGGAGTTATTTGGAGTTAAGCCGCTTGGCTAACCCCGAAACCCCCATGAGGGTTTGTAAAACCCCTAAATCCCACCTCAAACAACCAGTACTGTGCTCCTTTTCTCGTCATTTCTTGTCACGGTGGACAGCAGTGGAAAGTAGATTTAGCTGAGCACAGCTACTCTTGGTTGTGATTAATTTGGTTTCCTGTCACTCTCCATGATTCAGTCCATACTATGTCTCCCGGCTGTGAGCGCTGCCTTCCTTTACTTTGCTCTTTCTTGTTTTCATTCTGCTTTAGCCGCACAGCTTTGTTTGTTTGTTTGATTTATCTAATTGTAACATGCCGAAATTTTTGGGCAGCTTTAATTTTGGAGGTAGAAGACCATGAAATAGAAGAGATGGTGCCAGTGGTAGACAGCACAAGTTGCTTGTAGAAAACCAACGAAACCTTGAAGTTGTTTATTTCCCCCAGTTTTGTCTCTGTGAAAGATACATTCATGTGAATAAAAACATGTTTGTGGTTGCCATAAAAGTGTGTTTTTATTTTGGTTTCTCACTGTATTCGCTCTTTATTTCCATCAACCGTGGTCGTCAAAATGGCTTCAAAGATTTTCAAGACATGACTTTGCTTTCATCCATTGCACAAAGACAGTTGAAGAGAGCGTGAAATGATAGTTTGGTTTTGAGGTCTTGTTTCATGTTGAGCTTATTTATTTACTATTGTTGAAGTAAACATGTATCTAGTCAACTTTAATAACCATACCATAAGGCTACTGTATTGTCAGCAATCCTGACCTTTTGAGCGAAGCTTTTACATGGACTCAATAAGGTTTTTGTCAAAAGATAAAGTATTGCATTTCAAGATCCACTCTATATGCTCACTGCATGCTTATGTTTTCCTGTCATGAGACACTGAGAATGTGTTGTTGTGTTGTGTTGGAGTGATGCTCTGCTAATGATGAATATCCCTGCAGTCAGCAATAAAAGAGATAAGCAAGACACTCTGGGACTGTGTGTTGGTTTGGGGAAGTTTTCCCATGCTCGGTGTGATGTAATAGTGTATTTTGGAGTAGGGGGAAAAGAACCAGGCGACAAAATGAACTTGATAAAACAACATGCACGGTCTTGGCTGCTTCCTCTTGTTTCCTTTCAGTCTGTTGTTGCTGTCTCTGACCCGCTTTACGCTCCCTCCTCATCTCGCCCAGCTCTCTTACATATTCCTCTTCTCCCACTCAACTTGTGTTTTCCTCTTTCTCCTTTGGAAGCCGCGTTAAAGTCCATTTTAATCCAAATTTAATTGGATAGACTGGTGGGTCCATCCCTTTAAAATAATCTTGATGTAGCTGAGTCAAAATGTTGGCTTGGACAACTGTCTCTCCCCCAGTGACCCCCTCCATTAAATCTTGGACTTGGAAAGGAACAGACCCTGCTCGTAACGGCCTTTTGCTCTTCACTTTTACAACCCCTGGGCTCCATCCAGGAGCTGGAGAGGTTACCATAGTGACGGGCCCTCTCTCTGGCTGCCTCTAAGATAACCTGCTGAAAACAGAAATGAATGATAGATGGAGAGATGAGATTGTTTGGAAGCGGACGGCATGTTTGAGGAGAAGGAGTGGAGTGATGAACAGAGACCAGGCGGTGTATCTTTCCCTTCCTTCTCTCAGCAGCTCTGTGTTCTCCTGCAGTCACGGCCGCTCTGCTGGCATCTGCCTCAACATGCAAGTACTAACCTCTGCAGCTCGCCCTGGATTTTACTTTGCCTGCAAAATTTCCGCTCTTGCTCAAACTTTTTTACAAGGCTGGAGGAGTTATCTCAGGACGTGTAAAGATGAGTGAACATATTTGTTGGAGCAAAAATGTCCAAACAGAATGTGTCTCAAGCATCATAAATCAGCAACTGTTAATCTTGAGGAAACAAAGCTCCCCACATCCAGAATTTATCTGTTTCATGCCAGCGGACAGATTAAAGCAGCACAGTGGTGTCACAGTCCACAGGGTGTACACATTTTTTTTTTCTCACTTGCTGAATATTCCAAAAGGTCATGAGGAAGGCATGAAAAGTTTGTCTTGAGAAACATCTCTGCTGTTTGATTGTTTCCTGTTGCATGCGAGCGCAGCGTGTTTAGCTTTATATAGACATTAAATTATGGGGATTCTGGATGTATATGCGGCTCTGTTCTCAAATTAGATCGCAGCATTTAGGGGAAGCTTAGCAACGTGACTGTTGTTACATGCATCATAAAATGGAAAGAGCTGCTGGAAGTCAGTTTATGGGATGGTGAGCATCCAAAAATTGTAGCTATGGTCAATAATTTAACTGCCCTTTTGGTTGCTCAATAAAAGATGACAAGCTGTTGAAAAAAATCTTTCTTGATCATCCATTATTTATTTATTTATTGCTTCGCACATGACGTGATATATTACTTTTTACAGCAGTAAATATCTAAATATCAATGCTAAAAATTTGCTAAAAGGAATAAGGAAGAATAAATCCACTGATCTGAAAACGACAGGCATCTTCCAATGTATATGGAAATTTCCATTCTATAATAAATCTGCATTTATTATTCCAAGAATACTTTACAGTTTAATTTATATTTTACGAGAAGATATATTTCTTCCAAGTTTTTTATGGAGGTCTTCTCACATCTGAGACTGATTTTTCGAATTTGACTAAAAGGTTTTAACTTTATACCCCCATCAGAAATTTTTAAAAAATTATACGTTACTTATTTGGTGAACTGGTAGTACAAAGATGTCAGAAAGGTTCATTGTGTACTAATATATCTGTTTTTGCTGCAATGACTGCATGCTTTTGTGTTAATACAGCATGGTATTTCCTGTGCTCATTCGCTCTATGAGTATCTTTGTTAAAGGGACAGTTCACCCTCAAATCAAAAATACATATTTTTCCTCTTACTTGTAGTGCTATTTATCTCTCTAGATTGTTTATGTGTGAGTTGCCAAGTGTTGTGGATATTGGCCGTGTCTGCCTTCTCTTGGAAGACTCAACAGCAATGTCTATCTCCAGACATCATGACCTGGTTGCTAAAAATAATCCACAGACCTTGTTGTGAGCAAGTAGGAACTATTTTCTTTCTACCGAACTACACCCACCAACCAAATCATTCAGCAGAAGGATGCGTGCATCTACAGCTCGCTCGCCTAGCAGCTCTGAGCGAGCTAATGTTTCAGCTCAGCCGACGCCATTGTTTATGTCTCACGCTGTCAATAGGACAAGCCTTTTATCCATCAACAGCTTCCTATTGCACAAGTTGGCGGGTGTAGTTTGGTAGAAAGAAAATAGTTCCTACATGAAACTGCTCACAACAAGGTCTGTGGATTATCTTGAGCAGCAGGGCCATGATTTCTGTGAAGAGACAATGATGTTTAGTTTTTGGCGCTTTGAGCACCTCAAGCAGAGCGCCATCTAGTTCCATTATATTCAATATAAGGGATACATCTCTGTGGCTGATATCTCCAACACTGGGCAACTCACATCTAAACAATCTAGACTGATAATTAATGCTACAGGTAAGAGGGAAAATATTATAACGTCCCTTAACAATGAGGCTATGAGGCATGAACTTGTTTTGCTGGCATTTTATTCCTTAACTTTAACACAGGCTATTGTGGGTGGGCTGTAGCCAACACCAAAACAACAAACCTGTCTACTTTACAAGGTTTCTCTGCATTTGCAGCTACTTCAAGAACTCCCGCTCATCGGCTTACGCACACACGAACTAGCAGGAATACCAATTACCCTCTTCCTCAAGCCTCTGCCAATCCCAGGTGGGTATCTCACACACAGATCACTGTCATAGGTGCTAGTAATGACTGACAGGCTTCACAGCATCTGGAAACACACAACTTCTCTGGGAGTAACTCGTTCACTGAGGGTGCTTTCACACCTGCCCTGTTTGGTTCAATTGAACTCAAGTTCAAATGCCCCCTAAGTGCAGTTTGTTTGGGCAAGTGTGAACTCAGCAATGAGCAATCGCAATCGGGTGCGCACCAAAACAACAGCACAAGACCTTCTTGAATAGGTCGTCTCTGCCTGGTTACAATCGAACTCTGGTGTGGTTTGTTTGTGGTGAGAAAGTGTTCACATTACACATTGTTTGGGACAAACATGTTACAATCGTGGAGGATTTTTAATGGGCGCCTGCTCCTGCACTGCCTTAATATGCACATTCAGCACATCCAATGCATCAAAACATTGATTTCTACTTGGAGCTGCACCTCGTTTTCAAACTGTATGATTTGACTAAAATGAACAATGCAATATAGTACACCAGTATCACCAGCAAAAAAAAATCAACCCACGTAGTTGTCCCTTTACTGTGACATTAGAAAGTGTTGCATTTATCTTGCAAGTGTACTCTTCTTAGACATTTTGTTGACTTCCAGCATTTTTCCTGCACGGAAATTCTGACCAATCAAGAGCAGAATTCTCACACAAGGCATTTTATCTGGTCCGCTTGTAAATGCTGCTGTGAGAACATAAACCAGCTCTAGGCAATTATGCAGCTTTGAAACAAAGTTAGTCCCTGATTCGGACCAAAGCAAGCGAACTCTAGGTCTGAAAGCACCCTGACAGTACAGGAAACGCAGTGACTACTTTTACAGACCATTTTACTGTAGCTGAACATTACACATTTTTAACGGTGACAGAATCTATACAGTTAACATCACCTCGCCCAGTCCCTTACAATATGTAGGCCTATTTTTGATTTTGGGGGGATGAACTGTCCCTTTAACTTTGATATTACTCAACCCTGCATTAACCAGCATGAGGCTCGTACAGAGCTGTGCACGCGCTGAGTGTTGGTGATTATGTCACCTGGAAACTGCGGTCTGAGGAGTATCTATTTCCATCTTTGTTAGTTTATTCGAAGCTTCAAAGGTACGACTGATAATTCAATGAGAACCAGCAGGGAATTCCTTGGCTCTTGAGGAGTTGTAAAAAGTGTGAGGAGAGGGTTCGCGGAGTACAGCTGAGGCTGCGTGGATGGGAGGTTCTCCTCCAGTGGAGGGACCAGATGTGAAGGAGAGGAGGGGTACAAACTCATCCACACAGCGGCTACTAAATGCTTCCTGGTCAGCGACGTTGTTAAAAACAAACTGCACAAGTTGACAGCTCGGACTTTCGACTGAAAGCCTCTTAATTTCACCGTCGAAGGTAAGTTGGACTTTTATTGGCCGTCTGTAGCCTATTGTTAATTGAAACGCGCATTACGTCGATGAACTGAAGGTGAACTTAAGACGTGATGACGTGAGGGGGGTAACTGCTTTTGACGGGCTCACGAGGTGCTTCCTGATGTCTGCTGCTCTCTTTACGATGTTTTCTCTACTTTGACCGCCGGTATTGGCTTTAAAACCAATGCAACTCAGTCCTAATGTTGTGGTGGGCTTGTCACAGTACTTCGGCACACAATGTGCCTCAGCTGACAGATGAATAAACGTCTTAATGCGAAGAATAAAGCAGGTGCATCATGCCAAGGACACCCAACTGTGTAACAATACATAGAAGAAGCTACATAAGCTCCACAAAAGTGAGTTAGCACACTGGATAACAATGTAAACCCTATAGATAATGAGTTAAAGGCACAATGTGAGAGCTGTTTTGGTCCATAACCCATGCAGCACTTGGGAATCACCGCACAGCTCATGAGGTATGCAGAGCTTCCCTTTATTTTTTTAACTTCAAAAGCAGACATGATGTGATTTATTTGTAAGAGATGTTATCAGTGTTTGGTATGTGTGTGCGTGCTGTGGTTTTAAATTAGTGAACATGAGCTTTTCTCTCCCAAAGCCAGAAACCAGAGAGGGAAGTCTCAAATTTGTGATGTCATCAAGTTTAAAGGCTGGAGCTGCTCCATTGACAATGAATGGGAATCACAGAGTCTTTATTCTCTGTTGTCTACCCGAATGAGCTTTATCCTAATGTAGAGATCTCAGTCCTGAAACAAAAAATATGCCCATTGTACGCAGATCATTCCTCTGGGTGCTCTCAGTGCCATCTAGAACAGTGGTTCTCAAATGGTGTGCCGTGTGATTTTGTGATAATAACACATTATTATTGCAATACTCAACTGGGCCTATACAAAAAAATATTAATGAATTTTTAATTGACTGTATCAGTATGTTGTGTGCACCCATTTCCTAATAAAGAGGCAAACTCTAGGGAAAAAAAAAAAGTATTTAGTTAAGAAAACCTTCTATTGGAACCCTTTTGTCGCCATTAGCGCTGGAAGCTGGCATTAACGCTGACGTCGGGGTACTTTTCGACTTTGGCGTGGTGTTGTGGGCTTCACCGGCGTTTTGATGCGACGCCGAAAGTTCAGTGTTGTTGAACTTCGACCCCTTTTTATGCTGACCTTTTCGTATAGAGCCAGTGATTTTACAGTAGAACGCAGGCGGGGGGCGGGGGCAGAGACGGGGCGCGGAAAAATTTAAAGATCCAACTGCAAGATGGAGGAGAGATCAGTGTTGGGTCAAGCTGACGGCGAGCGCTGCGGCGTTGGCAAATTGGCAATCATGTGCAAGCGCCTTAAGTGTGTGACACATCAAAAGCCCTGATTGGGCGGCCAGTGTGGGGGATGATAACATTTTAAAGGAGATAGCCATGAGTGGGACAATGGATCACTTTATTGTATGGTGGAAATTACAACGAAGCACCAGCAAAGACGAACTACCACCGAAAGAAAAGAGAGTTGACAGTATCATGAAAGCTACCCGTCTTATTTTTTTCTTATCTTTATGGTCTTATGTCGTGGTAAAAGTGATAACACATGTTATAGAAGCTGTTTTGCATAGATATAAATACAGATTTGCCTTGAGATTTTGGCTTGCCCTTTGGTGTGCCTCGGGCACAAAAAAGTTTGAAAACCACTGATCTAGAACATCTTTACCAGTTCTTGAGAATCACAAATTTAGTGAGTGAGAGTTTTAACACTAGTATTTCAATTTGGGAGAGAGTTGTTCATGTGTATTAATATTTTTAAATGTCTTAGGCCATAGGGATAACACATATATGAGTATGGAAAATTAGTGTAGTACCTCTTTAATTTTGGTGGGTAGGTAGGTTGCAAGAAATCATGCCTTAGATAACTAGGAGGCCATGCTTTTTTTGTCAGCCACAATGCCATAAACATCAAATCTTACTCGGTATTAAGTGTCTGAACCAGAGGCATTTATACAATGAGCACTGTGGTCTGTTTGAGCAAGTTACTGTAACACATTTTATTAGCATCAAATCCCATTACGAGCAAATGTCATTACAAGTTATTGAGAGACTACTGTTTGCTGTGAGCTGCAGGAAACTTAATAAACTCTGCCTCTGTCTATGTAAAAAGATTTAG